ATTTCTAGCGGGCTGGATTTGTGCTTTATAGTTGATTGCATACATCACCTTTCCTGTGTGGTGGTGTGATCCACATTTTTTTCCTACCTTCCTAGAAAATGACTTTGTACTTGTATAGCGCCTTATCAAGGCTACACAGTGCTTCACACTACAGTCACTCACAGACACTCAGACACTGTTGGCAAGCTGCCCTTGGGCAGTCTGACAGAGGTGAGCTTGCTTCCAGGTCCACCAAGACTCTCTGACCCCCACCACCAGGTAAGTCAGGTGAAGTGTCTTCCCAAAGACAGAACGATAGAGGCGAGTGAAGCGGGGATCGAACCAGCAGCCTGCTGACTGTGGGGCAAACTCCCACCATCGTCACAACCCAAAATATGGGTTTTTGTGTAATTTCAAGTCCTTTCACATCTATATGTGTTGCTTTCTCCTGCCCTAGAGCTTGTGTCTTGGAATCATATGTGCTAGTATTGTTCTTAATGCAGAACAAGACTATGAATTTTGAGTTTTTCTCATGTTGAAGAACCTCTGAGGTGGTAGGTAATTATCTACCAGGTGATAGATAATTACTAGTCAAATCATTCAGAAAACAGAAAAAGCTGTCAGGTTTCATTTTTTAATGCTGCAGTGTCAAAGTCCATACTTAGAATGATTATAGCTGGTGGTTAATGTTTTTTGGATTTCACTTTAAGCTGTGGCTTCAAACATAAACTTTACAAACATAAACTTTAATTGTATAAATTCAGCCTTAGACGAAGCAAGCAAACAGAGAAATCTTTAACAGTCACTTTGGTAAAAGGCCACATAGCATCGTCCTGCTCCACTGACAACTTGCACAAAAGTAGAAAAACACTGAATGAACAGGCACCAATTAGATACCAAAGTACACAAGATATAGCATTAGTGCAAGAGGAAAATTTCACTGCAGAGTGACAAAAACACTGTCTTTTTCCTCAGAGTAACAGTACTCATGGAAATCATGGATGTTAGCTTTATGGTCTACATGCACCTTTAGATTTTCATATCCAAACATCTCTTCTGACAAAGAAGAGATATTCCAGGTCCACCAGAACATCTGGTGGACCAGATGACCAGATGTTCTACCACGTCATATCCAAACATCTCTTCGTCAGAAGAGATGTTTGGATATGACGTGTTCTGAATATTACATCAAGATGAAGAGAAAGGATACCAGTACTGCACATTGAGCTGCTAGGTAGAAGTTAGATTACATTTTTATGAACACTTGACATATGGCACAATCACAAAAAAATACTACAAAGCCTGGTACAATCAAAATGACCAGAAAGATCTAAAAACAAAAAATTAAAATTTCACAACAGCACCTGGTGCTTTTTTTGTGTTTGCTTCTTTTTAAAGTCAGTTTTCTTTTTATGATCTTTTAATTATCTTCCAAGGTGGTTTCCATGACTACTTGATCAGCAATTATGTAACCAGGTGGCTCCCCTGAAGAACTGGCATCCCTTCCGTCCATAGACCAGTGTTCAGGAGCGGTGTAGCTGTGGGAGAAGTGTATGTGGTCACTTATAGTTCTGACAAATAAAACCTGGGTACTCACCCAAAGCTTATCTCGAAAATGGATAAGCAACAAGCAAAACCATGACGACACATGCAGGAGCATCGGAGACAGCTAGTATTAGAAGCAGTTATGAGGCCAAGTTATGGAGGTTTTTAAAGAAAGTTTGAATCTTAAGGACTACATACTATTTGGCAAAAAAAAACAAATGTCCAAATTCAAAGTTCTTAAAGGGGCAGCCACATAGCACAATCAAGTAACTAATAGTAGTTATATTACTTTCAATTGTTATAAAAATGCCCTATATATCAAATATGACTTTAAACAAACCCCGCCCCTCGCCCGGAACGCTGGCTGGAGATAGGCACCAGCAACCCTCCCGACCCCACTGAGGGACAAGGGTGTAAAGAAAATGGATGGATGGATGGACTTTAAACAAATTTGACTTTAAAATGTAACATATTTAAATTGGGCTACAGTCTCTTTAAGAATATCCAGGTCCTTCCAACACTACACCTACAGGAAGTCATCACAATATCGCTCCTCTAACAATGTTCTTACCAGCGTTGCACTGAGAAGGATAATGAGCTCAGCTGATACGCTATTCCATCAGGTATTTGCAAATTGCTGCTGGCTAGACTGACGTAGCTGAGAATGGGGGATGGTAGAGGGGTGGAAAGTAGGAGAAGTAAGAAGCTTGGAAACTGCAGCTCCGAAGTGGACGTTTGTCCTTGAAAGCAGCACTCAGTTTCTCCAATCTGTACAAAACAAGTGTTTCGTACAGATTTCTCTTGCCCAAGAGATTAAAGAATTTCTCAAACATACATGAAATAATCAAGGGTACTTTTATATATCAAAAACATCCAGGTATGTTCTTGTTATAATAACATTATAACACGAAGAAAAGCTAAAACAATCAATCATTACTACCCCTTTAAGATATGAAAAATGGTAAATGACTTGTACTTGTACAGTGCTTTATTAGGTCCAGAAACTCTGATAGGACCTGGTTGTAGTCCTACATTCTACATTCAGTCATTCACACACAAAGCTACATTATATCACAGTTACCCTTGGCCCCCCTAACCACCACGAGCTGGTAAGAAGGATGAAGTGCCTTGCCCAAGGACACTTTGGGGGCTCAAAACAGAAACCCACCTAGTTACAAACTCTTATCACAGACGCCATGGCTACCCCATGTAAAAAATATTGATACATATTCAACATGTCATGTTAGTATTATGTGAAAGCACATTACATTAATGTCGAATGACATGAGTGCTAGACTTCTGAAACTTACTCCTCACTTTTCATTTGAGATCCTATTGGAGAAGAAGACAGGAGGCCTTGAGACTGCATGTGTCTAACCATCATATGGTCTTCAACTGGTTCCTCTGGAGGCACCATACAAATATCAGTGCTGGGACTGGTGGTGAAGGTCTGATCTAAAACAGCCTGCAGGTAAAATGGAGGGGGGATGGGGTTACAGTAGGTCTCAGAGGTCGGCGAGGATGCAGCAGTTTGACTGCTGCTGCTGGATGTGTTGGCATCCAGCATTTCCAGGAGAAGGTTGTACACCAGAACCACGTTCTTCTTCTTCATGGTCGACAAGTGGTCCATGCCTTTGTTGCTGTGGAGAGAGAAGGCGAAGAACTGAAAAAGCCATGTTCACTATGTCTTCTCTGAAACTAAAAAGAAACTATCTCATGTTTCATTTGTGTATTTCTGTTGTGTTCTGTGTTTTCTGTGTAGTTATTTTGAGGTTTTCTGTGTTTAGTCCAGTCCCTGTCCTGTCTTCCCTGTTGATTGCTTCCCAGGTGTGACTCATTCCCTGATTACCCTCCCTGTGTATTTAAGTTCACCTGTTGTCTTTGTCTCTTGTCGGATCCTCGTCAAGTGTTAGTCTCCCTAGTGTCACGTCGCCTGTCTGTTTCCCCCAAGCTGCTTGCATCTGGACTGTTTCTACATTAAACCTTCATCTTTGTCTTCTTCAACCTGGGTCTCGGTGTTCTTTCTCACCGCAATCAACCACAAATCATGACAATTTCCGTGTATTGTAATGTGATTCTGTGTTATGAATTACATGAGAGGTGTTCAAAGTTTGAACACCTCTCATTGTTTTAGAACTTAAGCCTGCTTTAAACTTCTCCATAGCCATTGCCCTGACCTATCTGCAATGTTTATAATGGTTGATTGCTAGTGTTCTCAAATACACTAACATTAGTGTTAGTGTTCCAGCTGTGATGCCAGCTGTTTCTGCTCTTAGAAATAGCTGGTGGAGTTTAGCTATAAACCAGTAAATGAAACATTTTGACGTTAAACTTAGAAACCAAGTTAGACATCAGATCACACATTTCCCCTCCCACTACAACCACAGAGTCCAGAAAGTGGTCAAAAATTCTACAATTTGACGAATTGGATTAATTCAAACATTAAATTCTTTGTAGTAGTTACACTTGAAAAGCAACCAACTCCCACTCCAAACTGTGAGGAAATGGGATGGTAGAATGCATTATACTGTGCTGAGCATGACAACAGGGGAAAGAAACAGCAGCAATCTGATTGGGATTGCAACATGCTATATTAAGATATCATCACAATAAATGGGTGCAAAAGATGAACATGGCACACTATTTGTAAAAAAAAATCCAATTGTGCACAATTTTGTGTTGGTCTGTTACATAAATCTCAGTGGTATACAGTAAGGATTGTGGTTGGAATGTAACAGAATGGGAAGTTCAGTGAGTGAGAGATTCTGACAGATATATGGATGCTTCTTCATTATGTCATTTTCAGATGTGTGCACCTGACATGACGAATGTGGGAGAGCAGCATGGTGAGGTGGCCAAGGCGAAGAGTTTGCTGCTGTGTGGACAAGCCCAGTTTGGAAATGGCCCAAACCAGAGCATCAATGACTGAGTCCAGAAG